CTATGCCTTTGCAATCACGACGCTTCTTTCCTGGTTCCCCTTGATTTTTCTCTTGTGCGGGAGTGGAATCATCAATATATTCCTTGAAATGCCTCACTTGATGAGGTCTTCAATTGCCTATTTGAGAGCTTGGCACTCATCGGTGTGATGCTCATTATCCCGATGAAAGTGACAGTACTTTTTACTATTTCTGGCTGACGAGGGATTTTTCATGGGCTCAGGCTCTCTGAGCAGGCTGGCTTCTTTTGATTTGTCAAGAATAGCCGATACAGATGCATTCAAAGGCGTATATTGATTTCTGTCGCGATCGCGATGAGGAATAGGAGCATAAGACTTTTTAGGCTCATAGTGCGGTTTCTTTCCTTTTCGTTGATCGTCAGTAGCCCATCTGCGATCAATTCTCCTGTCCTCCCCACAAGATGCACTACCAGAAGTGCCGTGGTCACGGCGAAGCACCGCCACGGAACTTTCAATACGGAGGTACTTCTCCGCAAGGTTATAGAAATGGGTGAGGGAAACATCATCCTCAACCTGTAACTCTTTCCATAGGTCGGTCTGTGGGCGAACTCCCGCTATGATGAGAGTTAAAACAGACTCCTCGGGAGTGTGAGCTACCTTGTTAAGCTCTCTGTAGAATCGATTGATGTACGATTGGAGGGATTCATCCCTCTCTTGCCTTATGTTGCTGAGGTAGCTCAAAGGCATCGAGAACTTTCTATTTGCTTGGAAATGCCTTAGGAATGTCGCGCTCATTTAAGGCCACAAGTTGATCGATCCCGCTAGGAGTGACCTGAACTATCGTTTGGCATGAGAGGTCAGAGTTACTGCCAAACAACCGCACACACCTGGTGAAGCTCCATCAGGTCGTTGAATTCATATAAATGATCTCGCGGATCAGAATTTCCATCGAACGCCCGTATGTCGGGCATTCTAAATCTTAATGGGAGTGGAGCAGCTAACACTGCTGGAGAAAAAGGGAACGTGGACGCGACCTGCCCCTGCTCATTTTGCTGAGCTCTTAGCTGGTCTAGAGCTCGCTGCAACTCTTCAATCTAAGGCAGCGGAGCTATCTGGAGATTGTTTTCTCCCATGCGAGTCCGACCCTTGCGGTTGTGGTTGAGAAAAGTCTGGAGGTCAGATTCCACTTCGCCTCGGCCAACAGTTCCGGCTGCTCTCGACATACGCTAGCTAGAGCCGTGTGATGGCGATGGATGGTGCGGGGAATTGTCACGACCTCCGCGGTGGTACGAACCGCCCCGCGAAGTGTGGGAACCTCCCGCACGATGACAATCAAGATCGTTTTTCTGGCGGTGATAAGAATCGCCCGGCCCAGCACTTTTATGGGGGTGTGCATGTGATGTTGCATGGGATGGCTCGACTTGTGACTTTTCACCGAGTCTTAACGCCACGGTATTCTACTCCGGACGTGGTCGATGTTCACCGACCCTTTGGAGCCCCTAGGCCCATTTTTTGCCACTTGCTTGCCCTTTCTTCGACGCGCTGCAATGCTCGCGGCATGGGCTATCGCCCTTTGTTGTGCTTTCGCGCGACCTGCAGGTGTTTTTGGCGGTTGCACCACCCTAGCTGATTCGGGTGGCACGCCCTGGTCCAAACGGTCTAACCTTCGGTTGACCGTCTGGAGGTTATTGTCGAACCTCTCTAGGTAGCTTCTGATGGCAGGGTCAAGTTGTGAACTTGACGGGATATTCCCCGCGACATTTTGCAGAACCAAAGGTACCTCGAAAGAGGTATCTTGGACTTGAGGGATCTCCCCCAGCACCCTGGTTGGTTCGCTCAGGTTCAAGTTGGCGGGTCATTTGCTGTTGTAGGACCAGTAAGTTAAAGATTCTCCTGATGAAGGACGAATACTAAATCAGGCCCTCCTTCTAGCGTCAAACTGTTGATGCGTGATTTTGACACCAACCAAACGCACGTGTAAAATGCTGAGCAGACCCAGAAGACACACGTGAATATGAAAATGAGAGTAAGTGCAATGGAAAACAGCGTTTAAAGTGGTTCAGATGCTAAGGAAATGAATCCTACGTCCACTGATTTTTGTATTAATGCTTATAAATGATTGTACAAGGGAGAGAATGCTATATATTTTTGAGAGAGAGTAGCTAATCCCATAAATGAGAGAGGAGCTCTCAATTTATAGTGGGATGGATTAAGGTTATCATTACTAAATCTATGAGTTGGTGGGATTATCCGTGTAAATCCTTCTTTATGTCACATTGCCCACCTTCTAGAGTGATTTACGCGATTTAGTGCAGGGATTAGACACGTGGAGTCACTACAGCTTCTACCAGGTCTGGCGCGCACCCACTTTACTGACATGAGTGTGCTGCTCTTGTCACCACGTGACGTGGCTGTCTCTAACTGGTTGCGGGCCTTCCTAAGTTCTGACTTTTTATGCTGACTGAGTCTTGCGTCAGTCCTATATTTTCAGGTATAACAGAGGCCAACATTAATAAGTTTATCTGCAACAACATTCCCTTCACTACAATTATGAGTACAACGAAAGATCATAGAGTAGAGAGATAATAAAAATTCAACCATCGAGTACGCAACTACCACGAAGGAGAAAATTTGGGATTGTGAAAGCATTAGATAGCTGAGAAAATTCAATCCAAATAAAAGACCAACCTTTTGAAGCTAAATCTTCGATTGTCAAAGTAATTTCTTGCGATTCAGCAAAAACATTTGTATGATGACCGAGGGCAATAGCATAAAAACCCAAAAAAGCTCCATTAAAGCCTCAAAAATAACATCACAAAGAAATGGGCCAAGATTAACTGTAGCTAGACCATTAGTATTAATTTTGATCCAATTGGGCGGAGGAGCCATCCAAATGATGGTTTGAATTTTAGGAGCTCTATTAAAAAACAAATTTAAATTGAAGGCGGAAGAAACAATAGGCGGTTGACCTTGGACATAGACCCGGCATCAAGTGCCAAGGAATTACATATGGCTGCTGGATAACGCTCTGAGTCCATAAATGTTTATTTTAAGTCCTTCAAATATGATAAATAATGACAAGCTCAGCCACTAACCAAAGATTAGAAACATGGGCGTTAAAGCTGTTACCTAAAAAACATAAGCCACAAATCTTCCAGTGTTCCTATACTTGGTAAAGAAGTATGAAATAGACCAGTAATCCACCTCCAATGACTATGGGCAAAGTCGCATTCAAGGAACAAATGATTTACAGTTTCCTCACAATTATAAGAATTACACAAGAGAAGCGGAAACAATCACCATTCATTTAGATTTAAGTTTATAATCAGTGGGCAATCACCATTCTATTGTGAAAAAGACGCCAAACTAGAATTTAAAACTTTGGTGGTATGAACTTTAGCCAAATATATGACATTTTGTAAGCACGGGAATAGGAATCCAAAGAGAGGTCAAACTTTTGTTAGTAGTCCAAATCGATACCTGGGTCATTAAGTTCCAAGCTGATTTCAAAAGAATGGCTGCGTTAAGTGATTTTAACTTATGATTTTTTACCCATTTGAGTAACACTGCACATACAATATTTTTTATACAATATTATGTGACAAAATATAATTAGTTAAATTAAAATTAAACTTTCATTCAATTATTTTTTACCACATAATGTTGTATGGGAAATATTGTATGAAAATATTATATATAAAGTATTATTCTTTTTAAAAAATGCATGCTTATAACCATGGCACAGTCACCAATTTTCATTTATCACAATCATCACTCCAAATGAAATTACAAATCCAACAATTAAGTTATTTTATAAGACTTTGAGGCCATTTGTTGATTATGACGGAATGAAAAAGCATAGAGTGAATTATCGATTGAACAAGTTGATCTCTGCCAGCCATAGATAAATTTAATTCTATCCATAAGTCTTTGAAGATAAATTCTTTGCTGATATGTTGACCTGAAGCCTTACCATAATCATCCTAAAAGCCATCAAGTTCTTAAGAGATCTAGAATCTCCTCTTGAGAAAATGAAGACATCATCTACTTATAAGGCATAAGAAGAGTAGAACCTCTGGGTTGGAAATATTTTAATTAAACGTGTTTTTCAAGATTCAAAATACCTCCAAAAATGTCTTTATCCAACGAATAAAAATTGATGAAAATCCAAATGGAAAAAGCACTTGAAATTATAATCTCCACTCCATGGTATCAAAGGCCTTAATATTGTCAAGGTTCAAACCACTATTACGACCAAAACTTTTCCCACCAAGAAGACTAGTGCTCTCTGAGATGACACCAGTACAAGTTGATATATTTGTTCCTTTAATAAAAATTAAAAGCAACTTGGTGAGGCGATATAATCCAAGCAACAATAGAGGAAAGACAATTGGCCAAAATCTTCATAATGATCTTGAAATTGAAGTTTACTAGATCAATAGGAAAAAACTTAGATACGCACCATATTCTTTTAGGATAAGAATAATAAATTGGCATTAATATTTGGAAGCACAGAGAGTGGGAAAAAAGTTCTGCACAAAATTAAAGACACCAGCTCGCACATTGTCCCAACAAGAAGGATAAAATGATACTGGAAAACTATCTTTGTCAGGGGCACAATTCGGATCCATTGAAAGACAGTTTGTCTAACTTCTTCTAAGGAGGAATCACTATTAGGAAGGTATTTCATGCTCTGAGACAAGGTGAGAAATCAAATGTAAGAAATTTTCCATACTTGTTGAGCCAGCCGAGGAAAGTTTCCATACAGTAATCTCAAACTAAAACACCTATACAAAACACATTGATTTTTGTAAATACAAGTCAAAACTGGATATGAATATTAGAGGAAATTAAACAAAAATAGAAAATCAAGACCGATATTTGGTTCCCTCCAATTTTCGAGTCCAAGACTCCCTGTTTAGTTGAGAATAGTTGTGGTATGTCAGAACAATGAGCAGGTACTAAATTACCATTCATAGAGTTAAACAGCACAATTCAGAAAATACCATATACATAAACATGTGTTGCATACAAACAGACAGTAAAAAGATTCAGTGAGTCAATAAACTACTGGTCAAATTCTTCAATTATAACAAAAATTGCACGCTCATTATACTGTTACAAATTATAATCTCCCAAAGAAGCATGATAACCATGAACAAAATACATGGTAACTTCAAAAACAAATATTCCTCTTACATAAACATGGAATTGCCATAGTGGATGACTGTCATGTACAAAAACAACAAACTGAAATTACTGTGGCAAAAAATAAAAAAATATATCATATATTCGCTCAACTCAAAAATTTTAACAGCAACACTTGCCTCCTCCAAACACTTACAAAGAGGGTTAAAGAAAAATGTAAGAATATCTTACCAGAATCTTCCTGGCTTTCTTCGCAATGCTCAAGAGCTATTTGATCATTAAATTTGGATATTATCAACATCTGCAAAATGAAGAAATAGACTACTAACTATGTTTCATTTTGCAATCCTTTCAGTTTTTTTCATCTCTTTCAGTCTTTGGGGCTATGAAGATCCACATAAGTTTCTACCGCTATCTCTGCAGTCTGCCAAATAAATTCATTAGTCACCCAACAATTGTAAGTTCAAAATCTTTATACTTTCTTGTCTGCCAGTTGCCTTCAGAATTTCAGTAGAGCCCACAAAATGGCGAACCTGCCTTCTAGATTCTTTCTCAATTAATAGCAGCATCGCACTATGTTTTATGACCAAACTAATTACATCTCCAGATTAAAGAAACAGAAAGCTACAAAAGAGCTGTACGATTAACCTAACCAATTTTGAATAAAGAAACTGGACCAGGGTTTGTTAGTGTCAAGCTCAAAAGGTCCATTATAGAAGGCGATTGATGTAGAATTTGTATTCTTCACCTCCAAGATAAGTCCTACATAGACTGCAAATTCTGTCAGAAACTTGAATACATACTGTGAATAAAAGCTATAATGCCCTCAAAAGTATTGTGGTCACATCTAATAATACTGCAATTACTTAATATTCATTTGAGTACATGCTCCCATATCAATGGAAATATGCAATGAGAAGTTACAACTAAAATAAAAATAGTTCATTCTCAAACCACTATGTTCACCGCGGCATCTCACTCAGGAATAAAATATCTCACATTACTTTAGGTCCACAAAAATATCCTGTTCCGTTTGGGAACTGCAGGTCGGTAGTTACCAGAAGGTAGTTTTATTCTTTGGTTCATTTTTCTTCTGTGTCGTTTGTGGAATCAATAATCAGTTATTAGATCATAGATGAAGGAGAATGAATACACGATTCAAGCTCTACAAAGACTTAATTCCTTCCCTGTACTAGGATAAACACTTGAGGCAAGTTTTGTGCGCCACATTATATAGCATAAGGGCCTCAGATAGTACTAAATAATACAATACATGTTTTGTAAAAACTTTGCATCGTATTAGTTAATACAATGTAAAAGTGCTTAATAAGTATCCATTGTGCTAGTTAAAACCAAGTTAAAAGGTAGGTCAACAGCTGTATTGTATTATTTCTTTTACTTAATCATTTCAATAAAATATTTAAATAATTATTATTTTAAATAACATTAAAAAGTTTTGAACTTAATTGAATATTATAGGTTTTAATAAATTTTTAATTTCTTTCCTACAATTTTTTTAATAATTGATTTATATTAAAATTGAACATATAACAATTAAAGTTTTTATATGAATTAGTAAATTTAAGTAAATGTTTATTTAAAAATTTAATTGAAAAAAAATATACATCAATACCCAACAATTATGTACCAAACATCATATTATATTTTGTATAGTACTATCCAATACAATGCAAATCTATACATTACAAAACTATAAAGTACCAGAATGGCACAGCAGAAGTGATCTAAATTCCTTCCCTGTACTAGGATAAACAATTTCTAATCTTTAGCTGCAAGATCTTACCGTTGCATTGATCATGCAATCTATTCGTTTCATGGAATGAAGTAGAAGTATTGCTTAAATTCAAAATCGATAGTAAAATTTCCACCAAACTTTTTCAAGAAAGATTAAAAGAACAAACTAGAACTTAACCAATCCCAACAGGAGAATCTAACATTGGATCAACCCAAGTGGATGATGTCACGACTTCAGCTTAATCTTAGTGAATGGTTTAGAAAGTCATAGAGCAGTAATCTTAAGGTCAGGTGATGCAGGTCCATGCTCAGTAATAGTAATAATCTCTAACAATTCTTCCTAAAACTAGAAAATGTGAATTGGAAATTGTTCTCCTCTGCCAATAAAAGCTCACACACCTAAACTCTGGAGTCAATCCTACCCAGAGACTCCTTCTTTCTTACAAGTGAATGTTTGGATATGACTTTGAAGTTTTAGTCAGAACATTGCTATTCACAGCATTTAGAACGTGATCTAAATGGAGTCACCAATTTCAGAAGAGAAGAGAAAGGCACATAAGGTTCAACGAACATAAAGGGGGGAAAAAGATGATTGAAAGTACTTGATTTACTCCAGTCCTTAAGTAACAGATGGAGGTGATAGTTGCCGATGCTTGAATAGCTTTGTCATCTGCCTACGTTCACAATCCTGCATAGAAATGACAACAAAAAAGGAAAATTAGTACAATTATGTTAATCATTTCGAGTCAGATGGTAATATAAATTATCCACAGTGTTCATGTCTGATGATGTCATTCCATAAGACAACCCCAAAGCTAACTGCATAATTGTTCAACCCATCCAAAACAAAGATGACCAAATAAAACTCAAGTTGTTAGTTTTATTTTTTTGGTTTAACATCACTCCAGCATCAGACTGGTAATTTATCTGACTCAAAGTCTTTTGGTTTGTTGACAACTGACAGCTTAAAGCTACACAAAGACAACAATCAATTAAAGCTCATTAAAAGTTAGCGTATTATCATCGAATTAGGAAGAACTTCAGGAAGAAATTTCAGTGAAACATGGCTTTAAAACTATAACATTCCAATATGAAATTACCTTGAATCTTATGAAATAATTATATAATGAGATCTTTAAGAGAGCTTTTTCAATCATATCTTACAAGAAGCACTAACTACTCGTTAAATAAGTAAAACTGACCATTGCATGTCAAGGCAAAATCATTGCATGCTTATGTTTGGTTAAGATTTCATTTGAGGGCAATTTTGTTTAAGGTGTCAAAAAGAAAAGTCTTCCCATAAGGAGTTTTTCAAACACTTAAAGAAAACATCACAGTAAACACCATTAAATCAGGATTTCACTGAGATACCAAATAAACCTCAACCAATTCATTTTGGAACTTTAAAAATCATATTGGCTTTAATGACACTAAGCAACCAACCTAGTTATAAGTTATAACCAGTTACAGACTGCATGCACTAACCAATACAAAATAATGACTTGTAAAAAAGTATTAACAGATTTAATTAATATGTCTATTACCTTAAACATATTCAGGTAGAAAGGTTTTTCTGGATTCATTCTCCTCAATTTCAAGTACGTATATGCAAAGCTTAATTGATCACGCGATGTAAATCGATCAACTTCATTAAACCAGAGACATGAAAATAAATTTGACATTGGTGTATGAGCCCGGACAATAAAAGAACCTTCAGGAACATCTGCAAAGCACCTCATTCGTGGAATCAGCTCCAGGTATTCATGGGACATTATATAAAAGAAAAGGAGAAAATCCAAAACAGGAGAAAGGCACCAGGACTCACAACTTGGAAGAGGAGTATTTGGATCAGAAGGCTCAAACTTGGTGAGGCCATCAGACTGGTAAAATATAAATTGTTCATCAATGGCCGTGTGGTTATACTTATTCAGAAGCTTATTTCGAACTACCTCTTCCCAGACACAGTGGCGATCATAATGATTGGAAATGGCATACTCAGACCTTGTTCTCCACAAAAAGAATTCAATTATAAGCATTGGATCAGCCTGAAGTCGCATCTTACTGTCAAGCCAAATTGAATACCTAAACATAAATAATATGAAAGATAGCAAAGTCAATGACTGGTCAGAACTAGGAGGTAAAATGTGGCCAATGCACCAGACAACCAATCTTACCTAGAAGAAGGAAAGAGACGATGTGATAAAAGTTTTGGCACTTTTCCAGTTCTCCGCATGTCCTTATATGGTAAGTTCTTAACAACAACAATTCTCCACAAACCAATATGTCCTTCGTCATCAGGAATGCTACCCTCTGAAGACAGTGTTAATAGTGTTTGCTCATCCACAAACATGGCAAAACAAACATTTTTCTTGGAAAATTCACTAATCTGAAAAAAATGAAGCATAAAAAGTTAGGAGAAACAAACGTGAATCTATATCATAGGCAGGATAGAGAGCAAATATGATACACAAAAACTCGTATATATAAACAAAAGCAATTCAAGGTGTACTGTTTTCTCTGACATATGATTCCTTTCACATTTGTATTGTATGATGTAATACCTAAAGACTCATTACTATATGTGTATTGAAGAGAGGAGAAGACAATATTAGGTAGATCAATCAATTTAAGGGTGCCATAAAATAATAAGAGGTCTATATAATCATAACATCCAACTAAACAACAGTCCTCAGGAGAGCCTAAAGGCATAATCTATATAAGCGCACTTTCTATCAGAATGTAATCCTTGAAAGACAATAAAGTAATGCATAGTGCACATGCTTTTATCAGCACAAAAAGTACTCTTTTTGAGCTTTGAATTAATAAATAAAGGCAGGACAGATACAACTATGATGCCATAAAGCAAACAATTTTGCAATATCGAACAAGAATCAGAGACATAAAAATACATATAAATCAAACTACACCATTCACACTTTGATACATTCAAAAAGGGTACCCAGCAGTGGACAATCTATATAGAATTTTCCATCTTGCATGCTTCAGAAGAACCCTTCTAAGTAGAGAGTGACATTAAAGAGACCAATACTTTGAAGAATTGATAATCTGGATCTGAATTATTGTCCATAAATATATGCCTACTGTTACTCTCCCTGTTTTAAACAGAAGGAATGAATAATGAAAAAAAAAAATCATGCTTCTCTTTTGAATAGCTATATTGAGAGTAAACTTGACATACAGTTACAGAAGAAGACAAGATATTTAATCAGAAGCAGTTAATAATCACTTCTGTGGACATGATAAAAAGAAACGATAAAGAATCCTTATTTACCATCCGGCTGGTAGGCCTCCTCAGAAAATCAGAGCTCCCAAAGATGCAAGAAGATACCACAACCTTACAAGTATTCATGTATGTCCTATCCTTTTCATCCAAATCAAATCCAGTGCTTGGAAATTGAGGCTGTCCTTTAGCAAATCCACAATGAAGAGTTTGATTTTCCGCATAGAAGGATTTTTCTCTTTCCTGAAGACTCTGATGTCCTCCAAATCTAGGTTCAAAAAAGTTGGTTGTAGAAGGTTTATCTTCCTTCTCAATGTAGTCTAGTGAAAATTTAGAGAAATTCATAAAATCTTTGAGCTCAACAATCTCAGTAACTGACTCTGAGAATCCGATTATGCAGGCAAAATCTGAAAGATTAATGGGGAAAAAGAGCAGAAGAATGGTGTCAAACAGCCAGAAAAGCTTCCAGAATTTACTACTGTAAAACAATCAGCAGAATAAGCTAGCAATTTTTTATCTTAGTCAAAATATATTTAAAGATAAAGGAAAGTTTTTGCTTACAAAAATTTATAAAAATGTTCATATCTCTGATATCAAGCATCATTGTGCAAGATGAACATATGGAGAAAATGCCCTGTTTTCAATCACTGATAGCAAATGAACAAAAACATATTCAAGATTGAAGCCTCTACAACATGTGGAATATATTTGCTTCAAGAAGATTAAAACGTCAACTCCAAAATCAGTGATTTGTAAGAATTTAGAACATAATGAAGCAAAAACCAATATAAAAATTCTTTTTTTTTTTTTCTTAATTTTTTGTTGTTGTCATCTATCTTTGCAGGTCATGAAATCTGTTAATACAAATTGATGCTGAAAACTCTTTTTGGGCTTTTTATTGGAAATTCCTTCTACTCAAACTGACAAATTGAAATCGGATTGTCCAAGCCTGAGTATTTTACAGATCTTGATGTCATTTATAATCTAAGTGCACAATGAAAACATGCAAATTCAAGAAAAATAATACAAGCAAAGTATTCTTACACCGCCTAGTGCGATTGCTTCGTGGTTTTACAGTATCAGAAGTTACTTCTTGCACTTCTTGCGTATTTAATGCCCTACTTTCCAACTTACCTGAAATGGTATATATTAATGATAAGCATAATAGAATCCAGAATAAAATAAAACAAGTGCTTCTACTCCTTAAAATACAAGAAGTTTGTGGTCTCACTCACCATGAGAAAAGAATTTTAAGGCAAAGGGAACAGAACACATCAAAAAGAGTGCAGCAAGGAAAAACACCCAATGCCACGATCTCTGTCTATAAAATCGACCAAACCTCCTTCCCCGACGCACAACACGAAAACCATTCTCACTTCTTTTCTCCGTTAACATTTCACCATGGTGTTTAAAGACAGTCATTGCTGTGATAAAATCCAGCTAATGAGTAACATAATTGTGAAATAAAAGAGCAAATATTCAGTTTATTCCGCGACTAGTCTGACATAAACTTTACTGTACACAGCAAGTAATAAATAAAACCACAGACATTATAATCGTAAACTTGAGTGCACCAGCGAATAATTCATTCCAACTCAACTCAATTCCATACTTCCAATAACAACATTCTATCGATCTATTACAAAATTTTAACTCTAAGAAAAAACATTATTTTAAAAAAATGCTGAAATCTTTAAAACTGAAAGACTCACCATATAATCATAATCAGTTCATTCCAAAATTCGAAGTTGAGAATAATAAACTAAAATTAAAAAGTGAAAATAACAATGACAAAGGCGTACCTGCTTCGAGATCTCACCAGAAAACAACTCGCGGGAACTTAACGAACAGTTGATGGTGATAACCAAAACGACAGCTACTGCCGGTTCTGTTTGCTAATTGTTGTATATTTGATGGGGAGTTTTTTTGGAAGATTCATTAGGTGAATAAGTTATTACAGTGGAGTTAATTAAGGATTTAGGTCGGTTATGTTATGCCTAGAGGCATTTTCTTTAAATTAGCCGACGCGGGCAAAACATGAAAGGCCAATTTTATATCGATAATTAGTAATGGTGTAGAAATTGAATCTCATTTTGAGCTTTCTCGTGAAAAGATTTCATTCATTACTGCTATCCTAGTCAATAAATTTAACAAATTACAGTCTCTATCGAAATTACCCAACATTTAATAATAAAAAGTTAATTATAATTTAGATTCGTTTGCCTTAATGACATTTTGCACCCAAGAAGTTTTAAAATATCGCTTTCTCACTCAAAGTTAATATTCTGCTACTGCCTAAAGCCGATTCCGACTAATTTTGGCAGCAGCAATTCTCTTTGTCAACACCATTTGAAGATCCGGTCACTTCTCTATAAACCCCTCTCACTCTAGCACCTGATTTCTCGTTGATTGTTGGCCACCACAAAGCTAGGGTTTCTTGTTATTAGATGATTTTTGGTTGATTGTAGCGGCGAATATTCAATTAGTCACCATCATTCAATCCACGGGCCTCCACTCAACAAAAACTCTCTTACCCTAGCTCTTAGTAACTCACTGAATGTCGGCTGAGAAGATGAAGTGTATTTTATGCTGCGTTTGGTTCAGTATTATTTTCCATATTTTGGACCGGATTTTTTAAATAATGTTTGGTTTATTATTTGCACAATCCAATCTTCATGATATTTTTTCTGACAGCCTTTTTGACTTTTTTTTTTTTTTTAGCGTTGGCTTTTAGTTTTCTCAGTTTGCTTCATTATTCTTCACTGACATTTCCCACTTTCTCACTTCACCATTTCACTTTCTCAGTTCACCATTACCAGCTCACTTTCTCAGTTCACCATTACCAGCGTGCTTCACCATCTTCACTGACATTTCCCACTTTCTCACTTCACCATTTCACTTTCTCAGTTCACCATTACCAGCTCACTTTCTCAGTTCACCATTACCAGCGTGCTTCACCATCTTCACTGACATTTCCCACTTTCTCACTTCACCATTTCACTTTCTCAGTTCCGTATTCTGAATGGAATGAACAATTACCCGTTAGACAAACAAGGGAAGATTGTTATGGCATGTTGTGTACTTCATAATTTTATCAGAATGTACAATATGGACAATCGTATCTTCGAACAAACCAATAATAGTATGGGTAATGAGCAAGTATATTGTGATCGTCAAAACAGGGCAGAATATGGCCGAAATGGAGAAGGACTTAATCAACCGCAACAAGGTATTATAGACAACATGACGACTGTACAGGATAACATAACGAATGCACTGTGGGCAGCAGAGTGGACCATGTCGTAGTTGTTAATGGAGTAAACGTATAAGAATGATTGTAAGGGTTGATAATTAGTACTTTTGTCATATATGTATTAATGTGATGTGTTTTAAACAGTTGGATTAGTACTTGAAATTAATATGGGTTTTTGTTTTTTAATATTTACGGGTGACAAAATTACCAATAAAATGTTTAATATTATTAAAATGTAACTGGATAAGTTGTATATATAATAATATATTATTTTAACAAAATGCAACAAAATATTCTACCAAACACATATTTTACAAATCTTATTCTCGTAATCATAACCCTACTTAACTATCCAATATTATTCCCAAAATCCTATCCAAAATAATGAACCAAACGCACCCTTAGGTATTAACAGAATATAAACGTAGGGTGAGAAAGTGGCATTTTGAAACTTTTTAGGTGAGAAATGTCATTAAGGCAAACCTTGGGTGGGAAAAAGTTGTTTACTCTTTAGATAATATAAAATTATTAAACAAAATCACCTTGAAGGGATGTTAGTAATGAGTTTTTTTAAAGAACAATACTATGTTTACAACTGAATCATACAAACAAACAAAAAACAAAAAAAAGAGTAGTCATTTTACATGAATTTTGTGCAATTTTTGTCTGGTTGTATGACTTAGTTGTAAGACTCAGTTATAAGCAAAACATTATTGTCTTTTAAAATAAATGCTATTGTCCACCCACCATTAATCTTTTTAACCCTCTTTTATATATATATTAATTTCAATTTTATTCTCCTTAAAACTTAGTAAATAGGATAAATTAAAAATAAAAATTATATCTAGGATATATAATTATTACAAAAACTGTAATTTTTGTTTTACATTACAAAAACTTTATTTTAAATTAATTTTTTAATGCATCTTTTATTTTCAGAGTTGAACTAGCAAGAGAGGCAGAGAGGAGAAAAGAGAGTATAATGAGACTGCCAGAGTATGCTAGGAGAAGAAGAGAAATTTTGTATATTTTTTATTGCATTCTATACAATGTCTAATTTATATAGGAAAAGAATAAGCAATAAGGAAATACAATATTGTGTCATAATGTTGTAATTGTAGTAAATCCGGAAACAATCAAATAGAGAATATTTGATATAATGATCAAATATTAGCATTCCATATTCCACTACTCCCCGTCAAGCTTGTGGTTTGTATATGTCAAAAACTCTAAGCTTGTGTAATAGATATGAATGTTGTCTACTACATTGAGGCTTTGTAAATATGTTTGTTGGTTGCTCTGTAGTGAGAATGTGTAGAGTAATCCTAATTATCCCCTTTTGAATCTTTTTTCTAACAAAATGACAATCAATCTCTATGTGTTTGGTTCTCTCATGAAATACTGAATTTACAACAATATCATTTGCAGCTTTGTTATCACAATATAGAGTGACTGGTTCTTTAATTTGTACTTCAAGATCTTCCAAAAGTCCAAGAATCCAAGTGATTTCACACGTGGTTTTAGTCATAGCTCTATATTCAGCTTCTACTCACGAAAGAGAAATTGTTGACTACTTCTTTGTTTTCTAGGATATGAGAGATCCTCCAAGTTTGATGTAAAAACTGATGAAAGACTTCCTTGTCATAAGGAAAAATGCCCAAATTTGAATCACAATAGGCTGTAAGGTCCAGATTCCTATCCCGAGGTCAAAGAAGCCCTAGACTAAGACCTCCTTTCAAGTATGTTAGAACTTTCAGTGTTGCATCCATGTGGGATTGTTTTGGTTTATGCATGAATTGGCTGAGAATGTGAACTGCATAACTGATATCGGGTCATGTCATTATAAGATAGATCATTTGGCCCACGAGCCTTTGCTAATGTGATGGATCCTCAAGAGTTGAATCAACTTATAAGGATGATATTCCGCTGTCGTATTCTTGGGTAGTGAGCTTGGTATTTTGTTTAATAGGAATAGCACTTGGTTTGCAGGTTGATAATCTCGAGTCTGAAATGAGTTCCAAAACATATTTCCGTCGACTAAGGGATATGCTAGCTGGAGATCTAGCAATTTCAATACCTAAAAAATATTTTGGCTCTCCTAGATCTTTGATATAGAAATATTTGTTGAGATGCTCTTTTAAGTCATTGATGGTTCCATTGAACGCTACAAAGCCCATTGGTTTACGATGAGCAAGAGGGGCCACCAAATCCCAGGTATGATTATGAGCAAGTGCATTAAGTTCAACAGCCATCTCCTGACACCAATAAGAGTAACAGGTGGGTTCCTAGTCAACAAATATCTAGCTAACACATATCCTGTAGGCAAGAGATAGTTGGTAAAAACTAACATAGTTTGAAGTGGGGTAGGTGGTACCTGAGGGATCTGGGAGGGATGGAAAAACATAATCAGTCGTCCAGATAGGTGGTCGAGTAAGACAATAGGGTCATTTGGGAGGTGCCGGATCTAGTGACAAAACTGGAGATTCATAAGAGGTACCAGTGGAATTATCCTCACATTTAGAAGAGTTTGTTGGATCTATATCTGGAGCAGAATCAGTAGTAGGAATTGGTGAAGGAGGAGAGTCTTGTGGCAGTGCAGTGGTATCATTGGTAGGTAGAAAAAGATAATGAGGTGCTGATGGAGAAAAGTCATCGTCTAGAAATGATGGAGATGATGAACTTGGGGTTTCACCGTTTTCCTTGAATGGGAATATGGCGTCATGAAACACATCTTTGGAAACAAAAAACTTTTTCTGGATTGGATCATATAAATGGTAACCTTTCTGTAACAAAGGGTACCCTATAAAAATGCATCAAGTGGCCCTTGGCCCAAATTTTCCATGTGAAGCTGTTAGAGTAAGTGCCTTATATCCAATCAATTATTGTAGAATTGACTCTTTGTAATAATGTTCATTAATCAATAAAAGACATTTTATTTTATATCGTGTAAATCATATTGATATGTATTGATAGATGTCCTTAGGACAGTAAAACCGTAATGAGGGTATCAAGTGTTTCAAATGTTGATAGTGAGAACCCTATGATCACATATGGTGACTATTCTAGAAATGTCTGTAGCCCCAATATTATTCTGACCAAGGACACAAATAATATGGTAAGACTATCATAGTGTTGAACAACCCTATCGAAAAACACTGATTGATCT